CACGCTACTGCGCAGTAACTCTGGTTACTGCACATTTATTTAATACTTGATTATACAAGGACTAAGTTGCCATCAATAATCAGCTTGATTATACAAGTACTCAATTAAATGCACAGTAACCATTGGGTGCAGTCACTCTCTGCAGAGACTCCCTATTCCCGACAAAGGGTTATGTACCTGAAAGCTTGCTAAGAACTTTTCTCCAACTACTCGGTTGGTCTAATGAAAAAATATCACATCTGCTCAAAGAACCTTGCCTGCATATGTCCTTAGACCAACACGGCTACAACCAAAAACCCAGTAACCCAGACCCTATTCTTAAAAAGATCTTCCCAGAGCCACCCATCCTAGCCTTCAAACAAGCACCGAACCTCACTAACATCACCAGAAGCAAACTTCCTCAAGCCCAGAACACACCAAAAGGATCCAAACCGTGCCATGACAAGAAATGCAAAACCTGCCAACACACCTCCACCACCCCCACTATTACTATACACCCCACAACAGAGTCATCAGCATTCCTGGATCTTTCAGCTGCACCTCCAGAAATGTAATACATCTCATCCAATGCGCCAAATGCCCTGATGGAAAATACGTAGGAGAGACCAAACAACAACCGTGCACCAGAATGAACGCACACCAGAAATCTATCAAAGACAGGAATACCCAAGTACCTGTGGGGGCACATTTCTCACAAGAAAACCACTCTCTCCCCAATCTCTCAGTCCTGATCCTCAAAGGGAACTTACAGAACACTTCCCAGAGACGAGTCTATGAACTCTACTTCATCAACCTGCTGGATACTAAAAATCATGGACTAAATATAGACATTGGATTTATGACACATTATAACCTGCCTGACATCTGACTCCCCAGGTCTCTCTCCACTATTCATCCCCCTTCTCTCTCTTCCCCCCCCCGCCCCCTCCCCAGCCTGTCTCTCACCCATTGACTCCTCAGTCTACATCTTCACTGACTGCCTATCTTGTATGCATACCAGCCCAGCCCCTGGCTTCTTTACTTTCCATTCCATCCAGGAAGAGCACACACCAACTGCTGAAACTTCCTCAGCCTGACGAAGGGTTTTTGAACCCGAAAGCTTGCTTAATAACTATTCTCCAACCAGTTGGGTTGGTCTAATAAAAGATATCAGATTCACCCAAGGAACCTTGTCTGCCAGTAACGATCGTGCATTAATGAATGTGTAGATGCACCCAATGTCCTCTTCCCTTTGTGCTAACCATGACCTGCTTTAGTCCCCTGTATCTGCAGTTCTAAACATTCATTTAAGGGGCTCTGCAATCTAGGGTCCCTGCCCTCAGCCGTGGGTGCTTTAGATTTGCCATAAATAATCAACTAGATGGACACCTTCCCTCAGTCCCTATGGCTAGTCACACCTCCCTACCTAACCACTGTGCTGAGGAACTTTCCCTGTGCCTGCCTCCCTATACTCCCAACATCCTCTTAGTTTTGCTCTAGTAGCATACTTTTCTGCCAGACCCTAGCTACATATTGCTTTTATCTAGCCCAGTAGTGCTGATCTGCCACAGACCAGAGTGCTGTTTAGTTGTAGGCATAAAGAAGGAAAAGAAACCCAAATAGAGTCACTCATAAGCGTTGCTGTATCACCTGCTGCCTCATACGATTAAACTCTGGTTGCTGGTGTGACTATAAAAATAAAATAAAAAATGTAAGTAATGAGCACTGGCATTCTGTGCTTAGAAGGGTTTATTCCTACAAAGCACTTCACTGAGGTGAGCCAATGCATTCTTTACAGGTGGGAAACCTGCTGAGGAAAAGAGGCCAAGTCACTTACCCAAGGTCCTGCAGTGCTCCAGAGTCGGGAAGAAAACCCAGACATCCTGACTTTGTGTCCTCAGCTGCTCCTTCTTTAGATTATAGTCTCCTTATAGTTGGCATCATACCTCCTCTGCTTGTCAGAAGTAAAGGTAAGTTAATTGTGGCTGAGATTTACTTTTCTAGGACTATGGTACTTCACCCTTCCAAAGCTCTTTTTAGCAGGAAGCAAGCCCATGATCCTATAGTGAAATATGCCTCTGAAGAGTCTTTGCAATCTTTGGATTTAAGTACATTGCAAACATTAATGACATAACCCTCCTGAGAACAAAATGTATTATTTTCCCCATTTCACAGATGAGGAAAACCAAGCGCTCCACATAACTTGAAGCAAGTTGCCAGGATGCTCACCAAGTCAGAGGTAAAGTTGTAACACAGCCTATTCTAGCAGTCCTTTTCCACACTCAACAGAAAGTTTGCTCCTTGAGAGATACCCACATGAATCCTTTTGTCACAAAGGATTGCTATGGATTATCCCAAACTCCCTCTCCTTCCTTTAAGGAGCATAGGCTCTTCCAACCTGAACCCAAACCTTGGTCTAATCACTTGGGCTTTCCTATCCCTCTACCAAAGGACAAAACATCTCTCATACCAAAAATCCTCATGTGATGCTGTACAGGCCCTGAAACATTAGCGAGGATTAATATACACAGCTACAGATACCAAACATGTCTTTCAGAAGCCAGCCACCACTTTGATTTTCCTCACATGCTGAAGTTAAATGTTACAAGTGCTGTGATCATGCCCGCACCCAGCCTGGAGTCACTAGTTTCAAATAATGTTTTCTGAGTATGCCAGAGGGACCACCACACCCACAATGAATCATTAGGCCAGGAGAAATTAATTAATCTTCAGCATCACTCTTAAGGATCCATCTTAGCAGGCCCCTTTCCAAGGCTTAAGTACAGCTAAAACTAATGTTTTCTGGTAGGACAAGTGAAACAGCTGAAAGTTTCATCTATCATTTCTTTTTTGCCTGGAAGGATGATGCTTGTGATAGCATCAATAAGATACATTATGGTTAAAGGATGACAGCTGATCCCACCAGGCTATGGGGTTACTCAGCTGCAGACCTACCTCTGCCAAACTGTTGCCTCATTCAGAACCATTTAGGATGACAGAGTAGAAGAACCAGTTTATCCCGTCCTTCAGCAGTGACTACAAAATATTTTTCCTAATCGCTTTCCACAGCTAGGCTACCAGCTGTGCCTACATGCCTGCTGTTCTTCCAGGGCTCCTGCACAGTTTAGAAATACTCAGCAAAGTGAACACAGACTAGATAAAGAGACTGCAGATTCTCTGCAGGTCAGGCCTGTTGGTCCAAAACAAGCTATTGAAAATACAAACAACCAGTATAAGCCATGGGGTACAGGCAGCAATTCTCCATAGAGTTCTCTGTAAGAGAGCTCACCCCCCATTTCCAAAGTCTCTCTCACTTCAGTATATTCATTGTTCCTTCCCTCACATGTAAAGCTGTGCACAGCTCTACCCTTGCCTAAATCTCTGCCTTCATCATCACCACGTGTGCTCCACCTAACTTGCTTTCTTCATTACCACTTAAGCTTCATCCACCACTCGCTTCCTTTGCTCACTCCTGATCTCTCATGGCCCACACCTGGAACAGCGTCCCTAAACATGGACACTGAGTGCTTTTCCTCCCATCCTTCAGATTACTTCTGCAAGGCCACTAAACAAGGATGCCAAGTAATTCATTGTCTTAATTATCTGTTGCAGGATTGCTTGCCAGTCTAGTCACAAATCCACTGGGGCAAGAAGCTGCACTGCTTCTGTCTGCTAGCTCCATTTTTAGTGTCTTATTCTTTGAAGACATTTATATGAGGAGTTATTCTGGAACAATTATTCCCTAGCATGGGGGAACTCTCTTATTCTGGAATTAGAGTGCTTTATTCTAATTTAGTTTAGTCTGGTTTGGATTACCCCTTTGCATTTGACCCATTTAGGATTAAATTAGAAACAAGGCTCTCTAATTCCAGAACAAAACCATCCTTACACCAGGAATCAATCCTAAATGGTTGCTCTTTTTTAAACTCAGACCCTACCTGAATTAGTTTCCCCATGTAAACAAGACCTTAAATTGTTAACTCTTTGGGAAAAGAAAGGACTCTCCATACTTGTCAGCACAGTGGGGCCATGATCACTGGTTGGGGCTGCAGAATGCTACTGTAATACACACAATAACTGCCATGAGGCAAGAATCAGGACAGCAAGATCCTGGTCAAGGTAACAAGGGGTCACTCTCCCTACTCTCCCTGGCATTCTGCTTGGATGTGGCAGCACTGGGAACATCCCATACCTGTGACAGCCACGTGATTCAGATGGGAATATGCAATCTTCTGCAGCAAAAGGAGCTATACAAACATCTAAGACAGAGAGCCTAGTGTAACTCCCCTTTTAGGAACAAGGGGGATCCTGCCTGCATCTGCAAGGGAAGGGATGGGACCCAGCAGAACAGGGGAGGACCTCAGCCAAGCAAACAAGTGAAGGCCCACTAAGCCTCCTGAATACAGGGTACAGCTCCCATGGTGTGGCTGCATGAGCCCTGCAGGGGGCGGGGGGAGGGATGTGGCTGAGAGGCACCAAGCTGGAAATAGGGATCTGCGGACCAATGTCATGTGCATTGCAGCACCCCAGGAAGTCCTGGGCTGGGGGCTGTGCAACCTGCTCAGCTGAAGAGGGCCTGAAGTGGGATAGAGGTGAGGGGTACTGGATGACAAGGCAGCACAGGGGTAGAGGTGGAAGGAGACTAAGGACAAGCCTCCAGGCTGACGGGAGCATAGCTGGGAGAGGAGTGTGGGTGTGTTAGGGAAAGGGCAGGGGCGAGTGTGATGGGGGTGTGTGTTGCGGGGAGGGCAGGGAAGAGGGGAGCATGGCTGGAAGCCGTGTGTGTGTGTTAGGCGCCTAGAGAGGGTGCAATGCAGGGAAGGAGGCGAGGCGAGGCGCAAGGGAGCGGGAAGCCGACGGGAACCCCCGGTAGGCACAAGGCGGGAGGGAGGGGGTTGCGGAAGGAAGGGGAGATTGGAAAGAACCAATCGAAAGGGCGGGGGGAGGGGCGGGAGAGAAACGCGCGGAGTCACTAGGAAAGACCCCTCCGCTCACCCGTAGCACCGCGGGAGCGGGTTCACCGGCCCCTCCCGGAAGTGCGGCGGTTGCTAGGCGGCTGTTGCTAGGCTACGGCGGCGGCTGTAACCAGGCCGGGTCGATGGCGAACGTGGAGCCAGGGGAGCTGGTCGGCACCTTCCCCAGCCTTATGGCCGAGGGCGCGCTGCTCAGCCGGCGCGGGCAGCACAGCAAGGCGCTGCTCTGCTTCACTAACGTGAGGGCGCCGCCATGACACAGGCGTCATGAATATGCATGAGCGCTCCCCCCCCGGCAGGGTCAAGGGTCAGAGCAGGGGCCACGTGGCGGGGGCGGCCGCGGGGGTATTTGCCCCGTGCCTGGAGCTGGGGCCCGAGAGGGAGATGCCAAGGGGACGGGGCAGGCAGTATTGGGAGAGGGGGGAGTGCCGCCCCTCTGGGGTAGCGCTCCCCACCCGCGCCACGGCCTCCCCACGGCGGGGGGGGACTGAGCCACCCCCCTCGCTACTAGCTCCCTCCAGGCTGCCAGCCGTAGAGGCAGAGTGGCCCGAGGAAGGCTACCTACATCAGCGATTCTCAAACTGGGTCCTCGAGACCCTTTCGAGGGGCTGGCTGGGCGCTGCTTGATGTGAGCATGATAAACTCCAGGGATTTCAAATGGGCCTCCGTAGCGTTGCAGGTGCTCTGCCCTGCTCTGAGCTTTCTGAGCCCTTTGCAACAGAGGAGTTGCTCTGCTGCTTTTTTGCGGGGGGGCGGGAAACAAGTGGGAGACAAGAAAAGACAATTGGCATTTTCTGAGAGGTGCCTCGAGTCTCTGCAGGTTGACAACCGCTGATGGAGGGCAGGAGCTGGGACTCCTGGGTTCTGCTTCTGCCTCCCGCTGCAGAGTCTCTCTCAGCACCTTGCCCTCTCTGTGACCCAGCTTCCCCCCTGCGGATTAATTACCTTTGCCTACCTTGGTGGGGAGGGTTGTGATGCTTGGGATGTGCCTTGAGTTTTTTGACCCAGAAGTCTCATCTACATGCAGTGCAGTTCTCCACAGATGGGTCCAACGTGTGTTTTTCCATCTTGCTAAGCTCAGGTTATTGAGTACATCTCTGTGTTCGCACCCCAGGCTCTGCAGCTTCAAAAAGGGGATAAGCACTGTCTGGTTGCTCGCTCAAAATGTTACCTGAAGCTTGGGGACACAGAAAATTCCCTGAAAGATGCAGAAGCCTCTCTTCAAAATGACAAAACATTTTCTAAGGTAAAGAGTACTTGGGCAAGTGATAGGTGTACTGCCAGAAGCAGGGGGAAGCATCCTACTTTTTCCTACACTTTATTCCTGCACCAGGCAGCAATTTTTGTCTTGGTGGATTGTCTGAATTTACAATATTTAGTTGTTATGATCCTGTAATTACATTCAGTTGTAGAGCTGCTACACTCTTCCGTTGCTAGCTCTGCTGCTTTTATAAGAGGACGTAGTTGTCTTGAGACATGATCATTTATCAAACTAAAATCCCACATCTGCCAGGGAGACTTGGGTTTCCATTAAAGTTAATTGGACAGGCTTAGGCTGTGTGCCAGCTAAAAATAAATGGCTGTCAATATTTACACTTGAATAGCAGCATGAGCCCAATCCTACTTTACTAAACCTCATTAGTGAGGTTTCCAGTGAAGCACAAGATAGTTACCTGCACAAGTTTCAGGATTGGACTTTATACAGATGAGGTACCATATAGCTCTGAGCACCATCTTGTGAGTGATTCACTGAGTTTTGTGCCAACTGATTTTTCATCATTACAGGGACTGTACCAAAAAGCTGAGACCCTCTACACCATGGGTGACTTCGAATTTGCTTTAGTGTTTTATCACCGTGGCCATAAACTACGTCCAGAACTACAGAAATTCAGATTAGGGATCCAAAAAGCTCAGGAAGCGATTGACAACTGTGTTGGAAGTAAGATGTGATGTTTTCTAGAGCCTGTAATCGTATGAAAAAGCAAGCAGTTAAGTAATTGCTCATCTGCTGCACTGTCTCATGCACTGTATTAGTTCCTTAAGTGCTTCAAACACCAGAGGACATTGCACAGTGAGGGCTGTCTGCTTTTTGAATAACACACATAATTGCCATTTTCAGCTGAGCTCTGGGACCATTCAAGCAGGATCCAACCCTTATTTTTGTCTTGGTGGGCTGTCTGAATTTAGAGCATTCAATTATTACCCTGTAATGACATTTAGTTGTAGGTCAGACCCCTGTGAACTATGCTTTCATGACCCCAAAGTTATAAAGCCCCAAACCCAATAAATGCTCCAGCTAGAACAAAACAGAACAGCTCATTTGTTTGGCATCTTGCTGCTCTTCTCTCTGAATTTGTTCCCCACTGACTAAGATCTCCAACCTGATGTTCAAAGTAGGGTCAGAGTAGGTTAATCGAGGAAATAGGCAAGAAGGAAGAGTTTTTTGGTTACATCTTTTATTGGACCAACTGTATAGTTGGGAGAGCTGTTAGAAGGGCACTTGGTGCCCAAAACCTTGATTAACATCTTTCATAGATTTCATAGACATCAGGGCTGGAAGGGACCTCGGAAGATCATCGAGTCCAGCCCCCTGCCCAAAGGGCAGGAAGTCAGCTGGGGTCATAGGATCCCAGCAAGATAAGCATCCAGTTTCATCTTGAAGGTGTTCAATGAAGGCGCTTGAACCACCTCCGGTGGCAGGCTGTTCCAGACCTTGGGGGCTCGGACAGTAAAGAAGTTCTTCCTTATGTCCAGCCTGAAACAATCTTGAGTAGTTTGTGACCATTCGACCTCGTCATCCCTTGGGGCGCTCTGGTGAACAAACGTTCCCCCAGATACTGGTGGTCACCCCTGATAAACTTGTAGGTGGCCATCAGATCACCCCTGAGCCTGCGCTTTTTCAGGCTAAAGAGCCCCAGGGCTCTCAGCCTGTCATCGTAGGGTCTCCTTCCCTGACCTCTGATCATGCACGTGGCTCTTCTCTGGACTCTCTCAAGCTTCTCCACATCCTTTTTGAATTGTGGAGCCCAAAACTGGACACAGTACTCCAGCTGCGGCCTCACTAAGGCTGAGTACAGGGGGAGAATGACGTCCCGGGATTTGCTTGAGAAGCATCTATGGATGCAAGCCAGTTCAGTTTGCTACATCGCAAGTCATTTAAGTCACATTAAATCACATCCCAAGGCACATTATGCCACTGAATTTGCTACAGCAGCTGGAATTACTGCGCAATATGCCGTCGCCACATGCAACACCAACACCATTATAGTGGTGCGGAATCATTTAACCTGCTTTAAACGTCTTGCGCACACGCCCCTCATTTCATCTACACACAGGCTTAAACACCTTTTTCTCTGTATAGGTGCTTATGGTGAATTACAGTTGAGCCCTTTGTGAATTCCAAGAGGGAATTCATTATTCCTCTCATCTGTATTTTTGTCTGAATTGCATTACCATTTACTAACTGTATTAGACTGGCCTATTTATCTTAGTCCACAGCTTCCAGACCTTTATCCCCTCTACAAATTTGAAAATGGATCAAAATAATTTGAACTCTGAATCAAAGGGGGAAAAAAGGATGACTGAAACTAAGATTTATCTTCATGTTACAGTGAGACCTGTACACATATTCATTTTCATGAAATGTAGTTTTGGGTTTCTGATTTCTACGTATCGGAAGGGTAAAAAAAAATCTATATTTATATTTATATCTCCATAGATTGAAAATTGTAATTTGATGTGAACATTAGAGGGTTTATAACATTTTGAAAGTCCCCACGTAATGGATTCGCTTTAATATTTCTCATAGTAAGTTTGCACGCATACAGCCATGAAACATCTGATGTGTAGAAATTCTCTTGCCTTTGAGCTAAGTCAGTATCTAAAGTAATCTCATCCTGATATTCTTTTGATAGGAATCAAAATAACATGTCCTACAGCCCACTAGGGGGTAGGTAGATACTGTTACATTTCTTCTGCTTGTAAACCAAGATTTATTTTAAATTCATTTTTAGTAAATCTTCCATTTGCTGTACTTGTCCAAAGCAATTATGTATGACTGAGTTGACTGTTATAAACAAAAAAAATATTGTAAAATATAGAACAAAATAGAGCATGATTAGGACATAAATGTAAGTAAAAACCTACACCGATCTACAATTTCTGTACAAGGCAAAGATCTAGATATAACATAAGTCAGACTCTAGAAAGGTGCATATAAATTCAGTGCCTGGTGCATTTTGCTGTTGTTGTTTTCTCATTATTTTAATCTTAAATTCAGATATACCTTCTTAATTCAACAAAAACTTCATGTGTGCATATTAGAGAACAATTTGCTTTTGTGGTTTGGATTGTTTTGTTATGTGGATTATTCTGAAAAACTACTAGAAAGCTCTTATACTTAGCACAGCCAATGCAGTACTCTTATTCATTTCAGAGGGAGCAAGAATCCCTCAGCTGCACTTACAACTTTCTTTTCTATAAAAAGCAGACTGCCAATTAACATCAAAAGGGGGCACTCCCTCTAAAATTATTCCAGAGAAAAGGCTCAAAGGACCCGTCTTGGACATTACCCATCTTGCCCTTTTCTGCTTACCATGAGGATGGTGAAGGTGATCAGCTCGTGGTCGCTGTCACCCAGCTTCCCATCGATCACTAGGTTGCTGACTAGGTCATCCTCAGTAGCCAGTACCAGGTCGAGCAGCGCTTTGCCTCTCGTTGGCCCATAGACTTCTTGAGTCAGGTAGAGGTCATCCACGCACGAGAGGAAGCTCTGTGACCGCTCAGATTTTGCTGAGCGATCCTCCCACGAGATGTCTGGGTAATTGAAGTCACCCATGACAACCATGGTCCTGGAGCAAGCTGCCTCAGCCAGTTCCTGGGCAAACTCCTGGTCCAGCTCAGGACTTTGGGTGGGAGGTCTGTAATAGACTCCCACCATTGTGTCCCCTGTGCCGTGTTCCCCACGGATTTTAACCCAGAGGGTCTCCAGCCGTCCACCCTGGTTGCCAATATCAGCTTGCAGGGACGTGTAGCTTTCCTTAACATAGAGAGCTACCCCCCTGCCCCTTTTCTCTACACGATCCCTCCTGTACAGGGTATAGCCATCTATCCCCGTGGTCCAGTCATGGGTGGAGTCCCACCAGGTCTCCGTTATCCCTATGACATTGTAATTGTTTGCACTGAGCATGAGGATGAGCTCCTCCTGCTTATTCCCCAAGCTCCTGGCATTAGTGTACAGGCAGGCAAGTGCCCCCTGGGGGCTCCTTCCTTGCCCACAGATTTTACCAGGGCTGGGGCAGGGGTGGGCTCCCTGAAGCGCCGTGATCCGCTGGCTTTGCGGTTAGATCTTTTCGAACCATACAGTTGATCTAATAAAAGATATCACCCCCCACAAAAAAAAACAACCCTTAAACCTTCTCTGATATTTCAGGTTTTTCAAGAAAACTGTTTTGGTTACCTGAGACGCATTTTCCTCTGTGATCTTGGTCTACCACAGCTAGGTAGCCTGAGACCAGATAAACTGTTGATGATTAAAAGGAGGTATCTTTTTAACTGAATTCGGACCTAGATACCAGACATCAGTTCTGCCAGAGCCAAGAAGGACCCTGTATTCAGAGTTAAAAGTAAAACTATTTTTTTCTGTTTGGCTTTTCCTCAATCATGTCATCACAGATGCACACAGACATGTACATGCAGCACACCTGCTCACAGAGACTGACACATAGCACGCCTGTTCAGACAAACAGACTTGCAGCACATCCACTTGAAGATAAAGCACACACTGACAACAGTCGCAGCTACGTACATACACAAGCCCAGATCCTCAAAAATATGTAGGTGCCTAACTTCCACTGAAATCAATTTTGCAATTCGAGATCAAAGCAAAGTGCAAACCGAGATGATCTGAATGCCCTGGATGTGCCTAAACCCCAAACCTCTTTCTTCCTGATATGTCCTAAAAACACAGTGGAGGTTTTGCTGGTAGATAGGCTTCAGATTTCTCCTTAGCTGCTCTTTTGGATTAAACCATGCCAAATATAAAAACGGCAGAAAACCCACATTTTATAAGTATTTTAAGCACCTAAATACCTTTAAAAATCTGCATTGAAGCATTTGTCGTGTTTGAAACATTTATAAAACTGAATGACTCTTACATACCTATAAGCGTCTGGGCCAATTACAAGGAACAATATATTCACTGATAAAAAGGAACAAGCTATTCACTAATCATGCTGTATCTCCTCAAGTCTGGAGGGGGTGGGTGGGGAAACCCAAGGGGCATGTTGCTGTTAATGTGTCTATATTTTGAAATGCTTAGGAAGCATGCAGACACTACCATGTGAGGGTCAAAGAGCTAGACATTCTGACTGCTTACAGATGTGAAAAAGAAAACAAAAAGATGCTTTAAACCCGGTGGACTCATGTGCCAAGCTCAGCTCATGCTCAGAAGAGGCATTGCATTAGTTGGACGCAGCTCACTCAATATCTGCATAGATAGGGTGCTTTAGTGGGCCTTTTTGTCACTTTTATGTAATAGCTGATTGAATCAGCTGTTAGATAAAAGCACCAGAAAGCCCTGCTGAAGTGCCTGATCTATACAAACACTGTGGAGCCAGGTTGAGCAACATGATCCTTCTGGAAGAGCAGTTTTTGGGGGTTTTTAAAACTTTTGTAAGCAGCCTCTGAGACTGGTCTTCACTGATTGCATTTCTCCTTTTCAGGAGGAAATGATTATTTAAATGAATGGTAAACCTCCTCCACAATCACCCAACTAGCCTAGTAGTCCTGTTCATTCTCTTACTTGAGGAAATGTTCTGAGAACAATCTCTGAATCTCTTTTTTTTTCTGACTCAGACAGAATAATAGAAAGCCCTCCCACATTTTGCATTTGTTGGCAGCATATGGACAGATAAGCTGAGATGACATGCAGTTCTGCCCTGATGTAGATGGATGTGATTAAGAAATTTATGAGCGGATGGATCCCCTTGTGACTCAATTCGGTGTTTCCTTCCATATGTTTTGTTGAATTTGCCCGTTGCCACTCACCTTACATCTACACTGTAAGCTCAGTGGGACAAAGAACATCTGTTTGTTCCATGTTTGTATAGCACCTGGCACAATGTGGTCCTCGTCCATGACTGAGACTTGTAGCTACTGGAAGCAAACAAATACGCATACTAATAACAAAGGCAGGTGAGCTGTTTCCCTGAGATGCAATCCCTGTCTTTAAGCTAAGGAGGAGGATACAGAACTTACCACACATTTCAAATGCAATAATACTTGTTCAGCATTGTTTGCAATATGGGATTATTGCTTTAGCTTTATTTCTATTTTAATCTCTAGGGCTTCAGTGAGGCAATTCTTGAATGCTCACAACTATGTTTTCTATATCTGCAGGTCCTTCCTCAGTTAAACTGGAGAATAAAGGGGACCTCTGCTTTTTAAGCAGGCAGGCAGAGGTACAGTATGAACAACTTTCCAGGGAAGCTAACTAGAGCTACTCAAAGCTAATATTCTGTGATGGTTCGGTGATGCTAAACGAAGAACAGGCTAATATATTCAGTGGCCAGACTGATGTAGCTGCTGGTTTTTAAAAATTACCTTATTCCAATGGAGGCCATCAGTGGCAGTGCAAAAGACTACTTGCCGGAAAGGACAGAACTCTTGCTCTTCTGTAATGCTTCTTGGGTGTGAGTGAGCGAGCATATTTGTACTCGGGAATCTTGACCTCACTATTAAAGGGCTGTTCTTATGCCCATTTCATTTTTTTTTCCTGAATAAGAAATTCAGCATCCTTAAAAGGTGTTGTGATGAGGCAGATGAGACAGAATTCTTAAAGCTAAGCTTCTCTGCAGACATCACCCTAGCCCTATGTGCCCTTGAGCTTACTTTAGTTTTGTTTGTTTGCAGAGCAAGAAAATGAAACAAAAACTTCCAGTCAACCTTGCAAGAAAGGATCAAAAACGGCTGAATAAACAGGAGCCCATTAGGAACACAAAGGCTGAACGGCAGCTCCTTGGAGAGCTGTATGCCGACAAGGCCTATCTAGAGAAGCTGCTCAAAGATGAAGGTCTTTCTCCATTGTATTTAACTAGATGCCACAGGTTGTTTCTCTTAACAAATCAAGTCCATTTTTATCCATTGTATGGGGGTTGGCAATCTTTTAGCAGTGGAGGGCTGAATTAATAGAGCTCCATCTAAGGCTTGTGACCTGGTTCTTGCAGATTCCCCTTACCACTAAATACTGCTGCCAGTTTTCCCCTGCTGTTATCCAGGCTTTAGATGGCCTGTGGGCCATAGGTTCCTGATCCCTGCTTTTTGCTGTTATTCAGATGACCAGCAGGGGGCATTTCACAGTTCACAAAGCTTTAGCTCAAGTGCTCAAACAACAGCCTATGGGCTGGACCCAGCTCATGAAGCCATGTCATCTGTAGGGGTGTACTGATAAAGATTTTCTTGGCCAATACCGATAGCCAATTATTAACCAATCATATTGGCCAATGTTTATCCAATAACCGATTTACTCTGGTTAAAATGGCAGGGCTGGGGGTGGGACAGAGCCATGGGTGGTTTGTCCAGGAGGCATGGGGGCTGTTCCCCACTGCTGTATGCACCTGCCACCCCCCGAGAGAGGCATGGGGGGCACGTGTCCCCCCGGATTTGTGCACGGGGCGGATGCAGGCTGCCCACTGTGGGCTTGGGGCTCTCCGTTCTGCTGCCTTTGTTCCAGGGTCCCCACAGTGGCCCATGTCCCCTGCCTGCCCGGCAGCAGGAAGAACAACTCACCATCCCCACTACTGCTGGGCAGGCAGGGGGCGCATTGCCAGCATGGGTGTCCTGGGGCAAAGGCAGCAGAGCAGAGAGCTCCAAGCCCACATCTGCCCCGTGCACAAATCTAGGGGGTCACATGCCCCCTCCCCATGCCACCGCTGGGAGGTCCACACAGTGGTGGGGAGTGCCCCTCCCCATGCCTGCAAATGAGCTGCCCATGGCTGTGTCCTGCTTCTTGCCCTGGTCCCGGGTCCCATGCACTGCCCTGGCTGGGCAGCACCCCCAACCCCACTCCTTCCCTCACTGTGGGGGCCTTAATCTTCCCTCACGATGCTCCTTCCTCCCCCATGTCCTTTTACCTCCATAGACTTACCTGCAGGGAGCTGCTCTCCACGCTGCCTGGCTGTACTCCTGACCACGTGCATACATTCAGCCGCATACATGCACATGATGCCCCCTGCGTCTTGCTCCTGGCAGCCCCAAGCAGGACCTCTTGCAGGCTAGAATGCTGCCTGCTAGGCCTGTGTGAGTAGGTAACTATTCAATCTGGCTTTGGATCCGGATGCCAGGGATCCAGTCCGGAGCTCCAGACTGGGTTTCTGCTTCGATCCGGCCAAAGCAGCTCTGAAGCTTCAGAGCCACCTTGGAGATCTGGCCATAGGGTATAATGGGGAATCAATTAAATATCTATAATGTTGTTTTTTTGTCTGATTTAGATGAAATTTGCAGAGGTGGTAACCTCTGCTGACAGCATGAAGCCTGCCAAATTTCAAGAAGATTGGTGCAGGGGTTTGGGGGGAACTATACCCCAAATTCTTGAAAGCAAAACTCATGTCACATGTATGTGTTACACCACAGGGGGGTGAAAACTGCAGGGGCTGTAGCCCCAGGTGAGGCCACAAAGCATGCCAAGTTTCAAGGTGATAGGCTGGAACTATACCCCAAATTCTTGAAAGCAAAACTCATGTCACATGTATGTGTTACACCACAGGGGGGTGAAAACTGCAGGGGTAGTAGCCCCTGGTGAGGCCACAAATCATGCCAAGTTTCAAGAAGATTGGTGCAGGGGTTTGGGGGGAACTGCACCTCAAGCTGCTGACAGGCAAAGCTCGTGACATAGATGACCCTGTGTGTGTTAAGGCACAGTGGGCTGAAAACTGCAGGGGTGGTGGCCCCTGCTCAGGCCATGAAGCCTGCCAAGTTTCAAGGAGATAAGTGCAGGGGTTTGAGGGAAACTGCACCTCAAGCTGTGGACAAGCAAAGCTTGTGACATGGGTGACAGTGTGTGTGTTAAGGCACAGCAGGGTGAAGGCTGCAGGGATGGTAGCCTCTGCTGCGGCCATGACATATGACATGAGTTTTGCTTTCAAAAATTTGGGGTGCAGTTCCCCCCGAACCCCTGCACCGATCTTCTTGAAACTTGTCAGGCTTCATGCTCTCAGCAGAGGCTACCACCACTGCAGATTTCATCCACATCAGACAAAAAAACAACAAAGTTATAGATATTTCATTGATTCCTCATTATACCCTATGGCCGGATCTCCGAAGCTTTTCTGAAACACTTTGGAAGCTCCGAAAAGCTGCTTCAGAAAGCCTAACAAAGCCGGCGCTTCGATCTGGACATGCTGCTTTGGATGCCGAACTGTCCGAAGCTTCTCTGGATCCGAAGCAGGGTCCAAAGCCTTGCACAGCCCTACTGCCTGCCTGCAAAGGGAAATCCACCATTTTCCAAGGGAATCCAGGTATCCGGGGGCCCCCATCTCACAGGGGAAAGGGAACCCAGGTGTCCAGGTATTGGTAAGCATTATCAGTTACAATGGCCAAAAAAAGCCAATAGCTGATAATGTAAATTTCCCTTTTATCGGTGCTGATCCAATAGGTACTTGATATAATTGGTGCACTTCTAGTCTTCTGACCTATGGGGGACTCTGCCGCAGTAGCATAACTAGGATGAGGCAACTGGAGCAGCCGCCCTGGGTGCTAACTTCTGGTGGGGAGGCCAAAAAATAGGAACTGCTGTGTACGCACGCTGGCGGCAACAACAAGAAATCACTGCTGCCCATGTGCATACCAGCTGCCCTAGGTGCCTGCCTGTGTACCTCTTCTCTGTGGGGAGCACATACTTCTGCTCTGTGGGGAGTCCTATGGGGGACTACAGTGGCATGTAGGGCCAGGCCACAGCCAAATCCAGTGTGTGGGGTTGGGCCAGCATGTGGAGTCACTCCCTGGCTGGATCTGGTGAGTGGGGCCAGACCAGCGTGCTGGGTCATGCTCACAGGCCCACCCCATAGTGGATGAGGCCTGTGGACCAACCCTGCACAAAGGGATCTGGCCTGCAAACCAGCCCTGTACCCCACTCATCTGGCGCATGGGACTGGATAGATTTCATAGATTTCATAGACATCAGGGCTGGAATGGACCTCGGAAGATCATCAGCATTAACTTATAACTACTTTGCAGTAGCCTTAAGCCTGCTAATTCAGGTATCAGGATTAAGTAAAACTATTGAAGTTAGCATGTCAGACTCCCCCAGGTCAGAGAAGTGGTGCCTCCAAGTCATCATTGAAGCCCATTGGCAGGGGCTAGTCCCAATGCTGTGTCTGTTCTGGGATTATTAGGGGATTTCAGTCTCAAGAGCTGTTGCATTTTGGCACCGGCACTAAAAATATTCACAAACAACCTGCCTCTTCAGCCTCCCACATTAAATTGTGCCTTAACTCTTCACAAACATTAATCCTCTTTTCTGGGTCTGCCTTTCATTAATTTCTAGACTTGATCAGAAGCAACACAAAGCAGGGGATGACAGTGGAGGATCTAATTTTGGGAGGCATTAAGTACCTGGACACCCGGACTGAGTTCTGGCAGCAGCAGAAGCCCATCTATGCCCGGGTGAGAGACCGCAAGCTCAGGCAGCAGAGGTGGATCCGAGACAAAAAGCGCAAACCATCTGAGGTTGCCAGACACATTGTGAAGAGCATGGAGGATATTGACATGTGTAGGTGTCCCAGGTGGAAGAGGCAAAAGCATTGATTGGGCTATATTGTTCACTGTGAACAGTTGACCCAATCATTAGGAACAGGTGCATTCTGGGATTGCCATTAATAACAGTAGCAAGAGTTTTTTAAAATATTTGTTCTGCTGTTTCTTGCCTTTCCCAAGGCAGTATGTGAGGTACAGGACTGAAAACATTTGCTTTTTCTAGCTTCTCTATGCTTGCAGTGCTTTACAAAGTAGTGTTTTAGATACTAGTTCTATTCAGGCAAATGTTCCATGCTTAGCAAATGCCTCTAGCAAGCCTGGGATATTCAAAGCTGTGTTATTGAGCAAGGTCATTCTCTCCATTATTAGGAAAAGTAATATTAGGCAGATATGAAAAATCTGTACAGCAGTGATCTGGAAGGGAGGAGAGACTATCTAAGCCATTTCTGTTCAGTGTATCTGTACCATATACTTTATAACTCATGAAAACTTCAGCCACCAACACTGAGGTTCAGTTACTTTCAGTTGCAACAGCATTTCCCTCAGCTAATGCAGATGACAGAGCCCCACAATACGGAGTGCCAGTCTAAAGCCCCCAGCCTGGTCCCAGGTGGGATAGGTAACAGAGTTATATGCGTGCTTGGTAGGATTCAATTTTTATTGATAAATGTTGATAAATGTTAATTTCACCTCACACTCACAGACCGATTAAAAAATATTTTAATTGTTAATAATTGAAAGGGGATGTAAGAAAAATGATGGCTGATGGAATGTGTGATGACAGGGGGGAGCAATCCTACAGAACTGTGCTGACTGCAGTTTGGACTGCAACACCCAGAAACCCCAGGGGACTGGGAATAAAGGAAGAGGAAAAGACAAAATAGATGAGGGAGCTATGGGCAAGTAGAGCTGGGACTGATGGCAGCTCTGCCACTCAGCTGGCAGCAGTCCTACAGTAGTTACGCTTGTCATTAATAAATTGTCTGTCCTCCATACCCTTAATTTCACACAATCCTGAAAGATTTAAATTTATAAAAATCAAAATGAATGCTTCAAAAGAAACAACAATATTGTCCATCAAAGTTATTAAAAAATAAAAATTGAATTCTGCCAAGCATAGATGGACTGACTTGTATAAGATGCCTTTTAGTGGCTGCATCTGGCACAGTTTGGAGGCCAAGAATTCATAACACATTCAACCTCTCCCTCCTCCCAATATAGATTAGATTTTGGCAATTTATCTGACTGTGGGGCCCCCACAGTGCAGAATGCAGTCAAATCAGAATCCTTCTTGCACTCACATTTTGTTGGTATTTTGCAGCCATTTTGCACAAGTGTAAATATCTCTTTAAGCTACATGATAGTGAGAATCAGGTTGTGTCTTTCCTAATACGGCTGTGCCGATGAGTTGGTACTTAGCATTCCTCCTTCTTTTCCCCTAGTGTTGACCAGTGGCTGCCCTGAAGGAAGCTGTAAGAAAGCAGAACATGTGCTAAAAACAATTAAAGGTTGGGCTGATGTCGAAGTTCCCAACAAGAACGAACTGATTGGAAACCTCTACAGCTGCATTGGGAATGCTCAGATAGATATGGGACAAATGGGGGCAGCACTTCAGAGCCATAAGATGGATTTGGAGATTGCAAAGGAAAAGTGAGTGTTCAGATGGGGGTTGCGCGCAGAAAGGATGCAAAATGTAGAACAAACCCTTGTTCAGAGGATTTAGCTTATATGCTGACTGGAGAGGAACACAAACCAGTCCAGAGTGATGCTTTAAAATTCTGTAGCACTTATTACCTGGGAAACACAAGAGGCACAACAAACAGTCATTACTCATAGTCCCCTCTGATTTATCCTCATCACCATGCAGAGGTTGAGCAAGGAATTTTAAGTGGCCTGGCCAAGATCACATACTCCTTGATTCCTACTCCCACACTCTAACCTATAGACCAGGGATTCCCAAGCTGTGGCACCCATACTCCTGGGGATACAGCAAGCCATCTCTGGGGGGTACATGGGAAAAACTGTAATAACGGATTTAATTTTCATAATAATACTAATAATGGCACTTAAGGGGTTAAAATATAAAACATATGCTGGTAGGTGTATGTGGGCAGCTGGTAAATCTGGAAGGGGGTTCACAATAAGAAAAAGTTTGGGAACCTCTGCTCTAGACCATGCTTCCTCCTGAGAGAATGTGGTGATCTGATTTCAGTGTAGGTCCTCTAGGAGTCTAGGAGGGGACTTTTTGAGAAATCATTTCCTTTTCAGTCCTGATGTCAAGCTGGAACTATTCAGCAAAACACAGGCACTCATTCATGCAGAAAATGTCCTGTGGGCTGTCTCAGGCAGAAGAGAGTGGCTTTATTTCACCCTTTTCATAACCTAGTTTTGCAACACCCTTGTCAAAGAAGTGAAGTGGTGGTTTGAAGGGAGGCTAATCTGTTTTATGTCTTCTGGTGATATGATAAGGGGGAGAAGTGCCCTCTAGTGGTTCTGTGGGTAAATCTGATATCCCTCTACTGGTCAAAGCTCAGGGCAGGAGTTGCAGGATATGGTTCTGTTAGTCACTTCTGCTGCCCAAATAATACATTTCTCTGCCTGTTTCCTCAGAGAAAACCTGGCCCGCATTTGATGAGGGGAGTGAGCACTCACATATTAACATTTGTACAAAGTCCCTGCTCTTTGGGCTTTACTGTTATAAACTGTGTGGCCATTAGCACTGAACAAAAGCTCACACAGAACACTGGGCAGCAGAGCCCATTATTGAATGTCCCTAGCAAGAACCCTGAGGCTCTGCTTTTCAATTCAATAAAACAGTTACCTGGGTTTTTACTTTATCCTTGAACAGCCACCAAAAACAGTGATAGCCCTTCTTTTTATACGTCGTCAATCAAGGGGGTTAGCCCTGACAGTGGACTAAAGTCAGAAACACAACCTTCTCATGTGTAGCAAGAGGATCCCAGTTGAGCCAAACTGACAATCTTGTGCTCTTTCCATTGAACATAGCACTGACTCCAAACAGGATTGTCAGCACTGTCAGAAATAACAAGCTTGAGTTTTATGTTTCATAAAACAGTGGCTGGATCTGTAAAGCTACATTTAGAGAGAAGTGATTTTTTGTGAAAGACACCAGTTTTAAAGGGGCACTATCAGTTTGAAATCTAGTGAATGTATAAAAAAAGGGTTTAAAGTATTTTAAGTACTGCATCTGGCCCTTACTCCTGGAAATGTTACAATCTTTCTCCAGTTAAAAGAAGTTCCTCTCTCCCATGCTGCTGTTTGAGAGATCCACATAGGGAATTGTGAAATGACTATGCACAAAGGCTGTCAAATGCACAAAACAACCAAATGGAACAGTTTTTTCTTTAATCTCTTCCAACTCTACTAGTTGGGGTGTTACTTAGAACAGCAGCAGGTAAAACTCTCAAACAACAGCATGACTTTTACATTGATAGTGGACATGTCTACGGGAGATGCTTTATTGTGAAGTAGTGTAGTTTACTGCACAGTAAGCATGTGCAGCTACACATGCACATGTTTACTCTGTAGTTAACCTTGCTAATCGTGCTAATTACTTGCAAGCAGTTGCTGTGCAGTAGCGCTCGTGTAGATGCCTGACCAGGAGCAAATCTGTTCCCGGTCAGCCAACCACCAGCAGCAAGTCCCCTGTTCCCGGTCAGCCAAGCCCCCTGTTCTGAGTTCCTGAGCAGGGACTGGGAGATCCCTTATCGTCCAGCCCCCACTTCACAATCGTGATCAGAGAGTGGGGGGCTGGGAGATCCTCATCTCTCAGTGCCATCTCCATGACAGCAGAGATAAGGATCTCCCAACCTGAGCCCCATGATGGTGAAGCTGTCTGTGGGAGATAAGGATCTTCTAGTACTGGCCCCACAGTCGCAGAACTGACCCTGGGGGCTCCCTGCTGGCAGGGGCTGGGGAACCAGATCTCACCCAGCTCTGCACTTGCAGAGCTGAGCAGGGAACAAGCTCCCCAACCTGTTCCCTGCCCAGCTCTGTGTTCAGCAGAGAACAGACTCTCCAGCCCCCATCCCGTGATTGTGGAGCAGGGGCTGGGAACTGTCCCAGTCAGGGGCAGGTCCCAGCCCTGTGCCTTGATTGAGTGATCAAGGCACAGGTCTTGGAAAGAGCTGCAGGGGAGGGGCAGGTCCTAGACTCTTGCTCTGATCTGCCACTGGGGTGGCTAGCTGTCTCCTGGCCACATGCTCCCTGCCAGCCCCTGAGCTAGCAACCAAGGGGAGCCTAGAGCTCCCCCTTGTGGTGGCAGGGGTCCTGTGCAGGGCTACCAGAAGTGGGAGCAGTTTGCTGCTAGGAGCAGCAACTCTGCTTCCACGTCCCTGCATGTGTAGACGCCTGCCCAGGAGCATTTACTTGCAAGTAGTTTACTCGCAAGTAAACTAATCTCAGATCAAATGCATGTGTAGACATGTCCAGTGTTCCTTTAATACTGTCTCAAGAAACTCACTCTGTTTTGTGAGCTGCACTGAAAGCAACCATCAAAGAAAATACACAAGGCTGGAGAAAAGGCAGGCCATTTTAGGAACAAGACTATTTTAAGGCTTCTTTCTCTCCTTTCAATACAGTGATCTGCCAGATGCCATATCCAGAGCCCTTGACAATATTGGCAGAGTTTATGCCAGAATCGGCAAATTCCAGGAGGCCATTGACACGTATGTAAAATGCAGAACATAAAAGGCATGAAAACATTTAACATGAAATAGATGTGGCCACATTAACGTATTCAGTTACATGGCCAACATGGAGGATTGCTAATGCCAGTCGTGACATGTATCTGCCACTAGAAACTGGACTGAGACTTGGAGGTCATTTTATGCAGGCCACCAAACAGCTGTCAGATGACAATAATTTCAGTCATTCAGTTCAGTAACTTCAATAATTACAAATATTGATCTTACCTTGACTCAAACTAGTAGCACAGGCTTTGTAACCCAACAGCAGTCCCCATGCCAGACTTTCTTAAATGTTTTCTTTCTAAACATGTAACAGGTCTCAGTATAACATACTTCCAGTAATAGCACCTGAGGCCCTTTCTTTAAAAAAGAAAAGAACAAGATCCAGTATCATAGAATCATTGAGAAGCAGGGCTGGAAAGGACCTCCAGAGGTCATCTAGTCCAACCCCCTGCCTGAAGCAGGATCATCCCTATCCAAACCATCCTATACAATCCATAACTTAAACTCTTCTTAAAATTGCCATCAGCCCTGACACAACACAAGACATAACACCCTAACCTGCCATAGATAAAGCAGGGGAACCACAGCAGACAGCATCCTGCTTCTATAAAATGTTGTTAATATACACTCAGGAGATCCTAGGTAGGGGGCTGTTTCCCACTGCAGAGGAAGGCAAACCCCCCGTGGTCCATACCAATATGACCATGGAATTAAATTCCTTCCTAACCCCAAATATGGCGAACAGTATGACCCTGAGTGGAGGGGCAAGACCCTCTAGCCAGGAACCTCTGGGTTTAAGTCCCAGCAGGAGCACTGGTGCACCCGAGTCAAAATCCCCAGCCTTGGCTATAGCCAACACCCAATGCCCCTGAGGAAGTTTAAAAACACCCAGACATATGTAGCATAACTGAATCCAGGCGAGAGCAATATAAATAACTTTTATTTTCCTATGCAAAGATGGGAGGAGAAGATCCCAATGGCAAAAACCAGCCTGGAAAAGACATGGTTATTCCATGAAATTGGCCGGTGTTACCTGGAGCTAAATCAAGCAACAGAAGGCCTGGAGTATGGTGAAAAATCCTTGCAGTCAGCAGAGGAGGAAGGCGATGTTGAATGGCAGCTCAATGCTAGCGTGCTGGTTGCACAAGCACAAGGTAAAGCCACTGAACTTTGCCTTTGAGCTCACAAACACCCTGGCCAATCAGCAGCCTCATGAAAACACCCCTCTGGTTAGAGAACAATGAAAATAAGCCTGTGGCATGTCATTTAGAGCAAACCTTTTCATGATGGCCTTAGTTGTTTCATAGGATACTTCTCTTATTTTTGGTCCAGAATTAAAATGGATGTTTGTTTATTCCAGTGAAACTTGAAGATTACCAGTCTGCGGTTATGAACTTTGAAAAAGCTCTTGAGAAGGCAAAGCTCGTTCATAATGATGCAGCTCAGCAGGCCATCATCATTGTAAGCATGGGCAGATCTAGAATTTTGAAAAGCGGGGTGCAGACAGTCTGGTGCATCATATATCATCATATATAAAGCGACACACATTTTTCTCCAGTTAAAAATAAACTAGACACTTTTCTAATATGCTAGGGGCCTAGGCTATATTATGCAGTTTAAGATTGAAGCAAAAATAAATATAACTTAATTGGAATGAGTTAAAAATAATTGGCAGGGTTGTGAAATAAGAGCTTCATGACCAGGAGCAGCTAACAGATAGTAGAATAGCAAAAAATAGCACTAACTGTATATGAGGGAGAAAAGGTGGGAGGGGTGAGTCCAACTGAAGCATATTAAGGGCTATTTTTTCTGAAGTAACCCAAAGAATAGTGCAGTCAGTATCAGGGAGGAAGAGTAGCTTTACAGGCACCAAAGGAGCAAGTAGTAGTGGGTGAGAGAACAGCAGTGGGAAATGGGACATGGTTTTAAACAGGCCTGTCCTACACCTGCATGTCTTGGTTTGTTACTAAGGATCTTTGTCCCCTTTAGGCTCTAGATGATGCAAACAAAGACTTCATTGAAGAACTGAAAGTAGAAAAGGAGAGAAGAGATTCTTTCAAAGGTACTGGCTGGTTCAATTATAATCTAAGTTTAGAAAATTCTGCCTTTCCCTTTCTTTTCTACCTCATTTTCCCTATAGGACACTTGGCAGATTGTCCATCCCCAGTGATGCTAATGAGTCCAGAGTCTGCCATGGCCTTGCTCCTGCACTGCTTGCAGTCCTGGCCTGCTCAGGACCCAACACAGGATCCCTCTAATTTTTCCTGTAGTAGGAAAATAAGTATTCATTTTTCATCGGTGATGCAGTGCTATTCACAGTGGAAAAGCCCAGGTGAACAGGATCTAGAAATTTGTGCCGTAAAGACAGAATTCCTCTGTTGGTACACAGAGGCAGCTGGACAGTGGACACTGCTATGGTGTATATTTTCACCAACGAGGCTTGGAAGGGACCTCAGGAGGTCATCTAGTCCAACCCCTGGTTCAAAGCAGGACCATCCCCAACTATATCATGCCAGCCAAGGTTTAGTCTAGCCAGGTCTTAAAAACCTCTGCATGTGAAACTGTTAACTTGGTTACAACTCATGGCTTTGCTTTTCATCACTGACGGTCAGAGTTCCAGCTGATGTAAATCAGTGTGCCTCTAACTTCAGTGGAGCTTTGCTGATTTGCTGAGGATTGGTCCTGATTGTTACAAGGTGATACTGCATATTTCCAAACAAAAGACATTTTCCAAAACCAAAAATAGCTATAGCACAGGGGTGGGCAAAATATGGCCCACAGGCCAGATCCAGCCCACGCTGCCCCACATGGACCCAAATGGCCCCACATGGACCTGAGTCCTCACCCAGTCCTGCTGGGGAAGCCACCACACTCCCATCTGTGCCCATCAGCCCAGGCCCAGGCCCCAGCGCGCAGCTTTTGGTGGGGCTGTTCTCGGTACAGCTGTAGCCAGTTGGGTGCTGCTCTGCTCCCCTCACCTCCAGCAGGAGCCGTTCAGCTGAAGCTTCCCACCTGTCCACCCACCCAGAGTGGCACAGCAGGGGCAGAAGCAGGAGGAGCTGCTGCTGCAGGTGAGGGGAGCAGAACAGGACCTGGCTGGTTGCAGTCGCACTGGGAATAGCCCCACCAGAAGCTGCACACGCTGGTCACAGCCCAGGCTGGCAGGGCTGTTCTGCTCCCCTCATCTGCAGCTGCAGCTGCAGCTGCTTTTCCTGCTCCTGCTCCTGCTGCACCACACTGCCCCAGATGGTTGTGGGGGAAGCTCTTGTCCAGTTGGTGGAACTCCAGCTCTAGCTCTCAGCTGCCTTCCACCTGCTCTGCCTGCCTGGAGTGATGAGCAGCCACCTGTGGGTGGGCAGAGCAGGTGGAAGGCAGGCGGGAGCTGGAGCCAAAGCTCCACATGCTTAGCAGGAGCCACCTGGCTGAAGCTTCCCCTCCACCCCTGCCCACCTGGAGCAGCACAGCAGAAACAGCAGCCACAGCCACAGCTGGAAGTGAGGGGAGCAGGACAGCCCCGCGGGGGCAGGCCCCAGCCAGTGCACACACCTTCTGGTGGGGCTGTTCCCAGTGCAGCTGCAGCCGGCTGGGTGCCGCTCTGATCCCTTCACCTCCCAGTGACAATGCTAACCCGGCTGGCTGCAGCCATACTGGGAACAGCCCTGCCAGAAGTGTGCTGGCCAGGGCCTGGGCTGGTGGGTATGGGCAGGAGCATGAAACAGGTTGCAATGCGGAGTGCTGCAGGGGCCGCCTTCTACTGGGCAAGTTCAGCTGCGTGCGCTTCCTGCATCCTCTCACCCCCAGCTGGCTTCCAGGCAGCCCTCTCTACACATATGCCCCCTCTACACATCCCTATACACTCCCCATGACTCTCCTCCTCCATGGGGCAGGGCGTGCAGGGAGAGGATCATGCCTGCCCCACTCCTGAACACTGCTCCCCACCCACCCAAAGCCCCACAGGATTTTTGGTGAGTTGTTGTTTTGGGGAGGGGGTGCTGACCCTGTGACAGTGCATGAAAACTACCTATGTGGCCCTCAGGCCCAAATAATTGCCCATCCCTGCTCTACAGCCTAAATTCCACAGATGGGCCTGCTAAGTTTCAGCAAAACATGAATGTATAAATGTGTGCAAGTGGGAGATATGCAGGCATGGCCGTTGAACAGAGAAGAAAGAAATCTGCTTAAGTAATTTATATCCAGTTTCCCATCATCACCTAAGCATCTACATTCCCTGGGGAGAAGCAGCAGCATGACATGTCAGTGCCAGAGCAGCCAACATGTGCACTGAAATGTTGGTAGAATGACCCACAAATATTATTCCTAGTTTGATTAGGTTTTGTTAAATTAAAAAATTTACAGATAAGAAAACATGGCATCTTTTCCCCTTCCCTGCATGTGTAAGTGAAGGGATCTCTAAAGGGATTACAATTTCATAGTGAAGGGAAACTCAGTTTAAAAATTATCTTGAGCTGGTTAGTTTCTTAGCTACCTCTGCTGAAACCCTGAAAGAGCAGAGGTTGTGCTAAAAGAGAGCTTAGCAGATGAATTCCCATGGCTTATCTATTTAAGTACGGTATCAAGTTTGCACTGTAGGTGGCAGCATTTCCAAAGTTTCTCTGTCACAGAGTCCCTTAAGGACAAGTAGCTTATTTCAAGCACTTGCTCCTTTCAGATGACAAGCTTCTCTATAAGTGTGATGGCAAAGAGAATCTGTCCTGAGATTCTTGGTATATACCCCAACAGGGACCACACGGAAGCTGACACTGGGCTTGACACTCCCTTCACTCCTATGGTGTAAAACAAGCAGAACTCCACAGTACATAGTAAAACTGGTTTAAGGGCAGGCAGGAATGAGGGTGAGGGGTATACACGAGCACTGATGAGAGGGATTTGTGGGGAAAGCAAATGACGTGAGAGGCACAGCTGTAAGACACAAGAATAGCAGTTGGGGATGGGCTTCACAGAGCATAGAGAATCACCATAGCCTCCTTGTGAGAAGAGCTGTACCTAACAACAGGTAATGTGCCAAAAATGGATCATTAAAAGTTTACATCTGTTTGAGTACATAGAATTGGGACTAAAAACATCTATGCCCTGACCCACATTTAATCTAAATAGTCAGTGCTCCTTATATACACAGCACTCTCAGGTCCTCTCATTTTCACGGTTTCTAAATGTCACTGTTAGGGCTGCTATTAAAAGTCCCAAAAATGAGAGGACGGGGAGCCATGAAACAAACTAGCCCCCATTGAGGTGGATCCAGAGGGAGTGTGGCAATGTGGTTGCACCTGTCCTTTCAAATTATGTGGCAGGAGCAGAAGCTGGGGACCATTTTTAAGTTCTGAAGAAGGTAAGACTTCCATCCCTGCCCCCGACCTTCCCCTCCCCTCCAATTCCACACCTCCCCTATGTGCCTCTGCCACTGTCCCTGACTGTCTCAGGGACAAGGGAAAGTCCAGAGCCCCTCCTGCCCCGCTCCAACTAGGCTGCACAGGGAGCCAGGCTTAGCCAGGGACAGCGGTGGCAGGAGCTGGTGGATTCTCCCTCCCTGCCTAGTCTCCCCAAGTGTTCCTTGCTAGCCCATGAGCAGGTGCACGTGTAGGCACAGGCACAGGGTAGGGGAGCTCATCCACCACTGCTGCTGTCCCTAGCTGAGGGTGAGAACGGAAAGGAATGAGCACAGACGGGAGGGGAGAAGGTGCTGGAGAGGTGGAATATAAACTTACCTGATCTGGTGTCTTTCAAAAGTCCCAGCTATTGCTTCCATGGCACAGCCTGCTCTTCCTGGTGCAAGGGCAGGGGAGAGGGAGCCTGGGAGTGGTGGGTGCAGCCACCCTTGCAGCATCAGTCACTGCTCCACACATCCCTTTACAAAATCCCATAGCTGCCTGTGGTTCTTCCCATCATTATAAAGTTTCTAATAGCTGCCCTTAGCTACTTCCCTTTTACTGCTTCTGCCACAGTTAAAAGGGAATACAATTAGTAACAAGGTAGACAGTTATAAATAGAAGTATAGATAAGTTGCAAAGTAAATAGGAGGATTGAAAGATACTTTACACTGAAACAGTCTATACTTTCACCAGATAGGAGAATACTGGAATTTGTTACAACACAAGTATTAGGCAATACACTGGGACTACCATTGTGCTATACAGTTAAACAAATGATATGGTTATCAGGTATGCACTTCAGTAGACTACACTGTATATTGAAATGTTACAAAATGGAACCCTTTTTACACTCTATATATGTTATATATGGTGTATTTAAAGCATGAAGTCTTTATTTATGCCAGTCTATATTTATGCCAAAACATAAATCAATTATGTACAAAATGCAAATGTGATAGATAGATCCTCAGGTAAAACACAGGGTGATGGCCTCACTCTGCTTCTGGGAAGACAGGTGTGCAAAGCTTTGGATTTGACCTTATTGTATAATAAAGATATAAAATTGATACAGTGTTACAATTACACACACGACTATTATATCTGAATCTATGTCTTTACAGTGTTTGCCACTTATTTGAATATCATAAGAATGGCATCAGTGGATTATTTAAATTATAGTTTCAGTCTCATTGCTGTTTGGCCAACTGTTCCACAGACTGTGGGGCTTTTGTATCCCCTGCTTGCAGTTTGAGGCCTTGATGAAGGGCTAAGTGTGGATGTGTGTGATGGAAGACTAGGGCACTGTGCACACAAATGAGTTAGTGCAAAGTCCTGTACATTATACTTTTACCTTAGTGCATACTAACTCCCCATGTAAACACTTTATAATGATTGCTAAGAATACCTTTGCATGAGGCACCTTAAATCAGAATAAGTTACCACACAGTGAGCATGTCTACACAAGATATTTACTTCAGAGTTGACTAATTAGCTCCACAGTAAATGCCTTGGTGTCTCTAGGTGCAGGGCAATTAGGCTAGCATAAACTACTGTAGTTAACTCTGAAGCAGGATAGTACTTGTACATGCAAGTACTGTCCTGTTGCAGTTTTTTACTCTGCAGCAGCACATGTGTAGCTGCTCCTACTGGCTAGCCCTGCAGTGGAGCACACTCATGACAAGCCAGCCCCTGTGCAGCATATTGAGCTGGGTCAGAGCAGCCCCAGGCTGGCAGGCTGACCCCTGGGGTCCCCTGCCAGCTGGGGCTGCTCCAACCCAGCTCAACATTATGGGGGCCCAGGCAATAAACCCTGGAGTTTATTGCTTTGCATTAATTGCACGTGTAGACGTGTCCAGTTTGTGCACACCAAATGGTTTCCAAGGGAGGTGGTGCTCTCCCCTACTTTGGGGGTCTTCAAGAGGAGACTGGACAAGCACCTAGCTGAGGTCATCTGACCCCAGTGCTTTCTGTCCAGGGCGGGGGGTTGGACTCAGTGACCTACTGGGGTCCCTTCTGACCCTAACATCTAGGAATCTGTGAACCAAGGACATCCATAGCACTGAACAGCCACTGCTCTGTTAGACCATACCCTTGCTTATTGCACAGTAGGCTTCCCATTTAAACAAGGCTACCATACATTCTTCCGTTAAGCCCTTTTGGGTAGTAACCCTCCCTGCCACCTCCAAATACCTTAGTTACCTAAGTAAGGCCAAAGGAAGCACTGCACTTGAAACTAACAATTCTTCTTTTTCCAGCATTCTCACCTGCTTTCTCAGCCCCCAGATGGCCACCTGGAATTCATCTCTTTTTTTGGCATGACCAGTGAATTTCAGAGGGCTGCAACTTGCCAGCTCCCAGTTTCTCATTAATATCTATCATGCAGCTTAACTTTTCGCACCAGCAATGAATTTCACCTCTTGAGACAAAAAAAGTAAGAGGAAAGGACGGGTGAGTGGGGCACAGTTCTGCTGCCCCTATCCCTCTTCTCCTATTAAAATGCAACCTGCAGCCAGAAAGTACAGCTCCATTCTCTGCTAGTGCTCTGCATGTGGGAACTCTTCTGCTTTGTTTAAAAGCAAACCCTTCTTTTCTCCCCAGATTTTGGCTATGTAAGTGAATATTTCTTTGAGAAGATAAAGAGCAGACATAATATGGAGCAAGAAAATGACAAACAAGAGGAAAGAGAACAAGAGAATGAGAGAAATGAAAAAGAGAAAGAGAATGAGAGAAATGAAAGAGAGAAAGACGAGAATGAGAGAAATGAAACAGAGGAAGAAGAGAAAGAGAGAAATGAAAGAGAGAAAGAGAAAGAGAGAAATGAAACAGAGGAAGAAGAGAAAGAGAGAAATGAAACAGAGGAAGAAGAGAAAGAGAGAAATGAAACAGAGGAAGAAGAGAATGAGAGAAATGAAACAGAGGAAGAAGAGAATGAGAGAAATGGACAAGAAAAAGAGACCGATGAGAAAAATGGACAAGAATGTAAGGAGGTAGAGAGAAGTGGAGAAGAAAGATTGGAGAGTGAGAGAAATGAAAGGGAGGAAGGAGAAGAGGAGACAGTGAGAGAAGAGGAAGAAGATATAAAGGAGGATTTGTCTGAACAACAGGGGGACATTTCCTAGAGTTCACCTGTAGGATTAAAGTCTGTGTTGGTGTGCTGACTTTACAACTTAGTGCCTTTTACTTAGACCAGGTCTATCTTATGTACTTAGGCACCTGAAAAAATGTCTGTAAGGAATCACACACCCTAGCAGATGTTACTATGGCAGCAAAACCACTGGTTAGATGCAACTTTACTGACAAAAAGAGCATTTTGTTAGGTTACTTAGTGCTGTTTGTAGAGATGATGTAGTAGCTATGTTGGCAGAAAAGCTCCCATTGACACATGCTGTGCCTCCAGAAGGGGGCTCTGCCAGCCTAGCTATGTAATGGCAGAGACTCTTCTAATGTAGATAAATAATCCCTTGGTGTGAAATTGGTCCTGTATTTCCCTTGGACATACATTCCACACCTTTATGTGAGTGGCCTCTGGTTTTTGCCACTCCTTTGAATTATTATTTTCTTTTTCCATTCTAAAGCCCTTCAACTGAAGGTAATTTAGGTTCCTGCATTGGACCGAGTTTCGTTAATTCTCTTTCTGCCTTTCTACCGAGACATCGGGACTCTGATAGGAAGTCAGACACTGACTGAGAGCACAAGTCTGCATCTCCTGTGCAGGCACAAAGTTTCACTAATGCTAATGGAATCTCTACGTGTATTAAGATGCAGGACTGGGATCTTGTGAATATATTTGATCCAGTAGTACAGTGGCATTCTTGGCAAAATGAGCCGTGTATCTTCAGTCAGTGTCTGCAGGGTGTGATCAAAACTAGGCACAGCTGCTGTTTTTGTAATGACCGGATAAGTTAACAGTGTCTTTGCATATCTGCTGAATTTGAATCCAGTGTGAAACCTCCAATCGGATAAAGAACGTTAGTTTCAATATGACTGGTAAATAAACAAAGGCAAAGCCAGGATGTGACGACTGACAGCCATTTCCTTCTGTATGGTGTGCAGAGAGGCTGAAGCTGGTCTACAAGAACCAGGTGTGGATCATCCCTGCTGCTTCCTTTTCTTTACACACAGCTCTGTGTGTGTGTGTGTGTACGTGTGTACTTATGTGTGTGTGTGTGCTTCCTTAACATACAGCTTTGTGTGTGTGTGTGCATCCATGCATGCGTGTTCCTTAACGTACAGCTCCGTGTGTGTGTGAATGCACACATGCGCTTCGTTACAGCTCTGTGTGCACATATGCTTTCCTTAACATACAGGTGTATGTGTTTCTTTACACACAGCTGTGTGTGTGTGTGTATACTTGTGTGTGTATATGTTCCTTAACATACAGCTTTGTGTGTATGCATCTGTGCATGAATGTGCATTCCTTAACATATAGCTGTGTGTGTGCGCGCGCGCGTGCACGTGTTCCTCTGCAGCTCTGTGTGCACGTTTTCCTTAACATACAGGTGTGTGTGTGTTTCTTAACACACAGCTCTTTGTGTGCGCAAATTTGTTTCTCCTTACTCTGTGCATGTGTTCCGTTGGGGGGGGGGGGGGTGTTGCACTTTGGCATTCAGCACTTCTCCATTGTCCCCCTGCTTGTATTGATCGTTTTAGGTCACTACCTGGGACACTCACAAAAATCCAGCGTCTAACATGAGCTACCGTCACTGGCTAAAAGCAGGCGATCTGTTTACTTCGGGGCTGACAGTGCGAGGGTTTGACTTGCACCAAAAGGTGGGGGGGGTCTTCATTGCTTAATGGGGGAGGGAAGGGGACGAGAGACAATCGCTTGCACATGTAGCTGGCAGGGCAATAGCCGCGAATCAGTCCGGACTGTCCCGGGACAAGGCGATCATTTGGGCACTTCCCAGGCGCAGCGGGGGGACGAGGGGCTTGTAGCTCTGCAGGGTCCCGGGAGGGCGGTGAAGGGCTCGGTGGCCTGCAGGTTACAGTGCACAGGGACTGGCGCAGCCCGACACCCGCGGAAAGCCCCTGAGGGCGGGGCGGGGCCGATAGCCGCGAATCAGTCCGGACTGTCCCGGGACAAGGCGATCATTTGGGCACTTCCCAGGCGCAGCGGGGGGACGAGGGGCTTGTAGCTCTGCAGGGTCCCGGGAGGGCGGTGAAGGGCTCGGTGGCCTGCAGGTTACAGTGCACAGGGACTGGCGCAGCCCGACACCCGCGGAAAGCCCCTGAGGGCGGGGCGGGGCCGCACGTAACCGCGGCGTTTCGGTCCCGCTAGGCGCCGCAAGCGGCTCCGCTTCCTGCACCCCCCGCCCCAGCCGCCAGGGG